TGATGATGATGATGATGCTGCTGCTGCTGATGATGATGATGATGATGATGATGATGATGATGATGATGATGATGATGATGATGATGATGATGATGATGATGATGCTAATGAGGAGGAGGAGGAGGGAGGAGGAGGAGGAGGAGGAGGAGGTAGGAGGAGGTAGGAGAGGAGGAGGGGGTGGTGGTGGTGGAGGGCAGCGACAGCGCCCTGTGTCTCGCGCGGCCCGCTCCTCTCGCCGAGGCGGCGGCGCGAGGCTCCTCGCCGCCCGCAGGCGGCGGCAGTTCGGCGGCAGCGGCGCGGGCCTGAAGGCGCTCCGCGCCGGGCCGCGCGGCCGCGGCCGAGCTGCCGCCGCCGTCGAGGGAGGAGGATGGAGGTGGGAGGAGGAGGAGGAGGAAGGAGGAGGAGGAGGAGGGGAGGAGGAGGAGGAGGAAGGAGGAGGAGGAGGAGGAGGTGGGGAGGAGGAGGAGAGGAGGAGGAGGAGGAGGAGGAGGAGGAGGAGGAGGAGGAGGAGGAGGAGGAGGAGGAGGAGGAGGGGAGGAGGATCAGGAGTATGAGGAGGGAGGCGGAGGACGGCGAGGGAGGAGGATGAAGGGGAGGAGGAGGAGGAGGCGGAGGAGGAGGAGGAGGAGGAGGAGGAGGAGGAGGAGGAGGAGGAGGATCGAGGAGTATCGAGGAGGATCGAGGGAGAGGGTCGAGGGTCGAGGATTGAGGAGGATTGAGGCCCGAGGGGGATCGAGTGGGGAGGAGGATCGAGGATCGGATCGGTTCGGTAGTCCACGGAGGATTAGGCAATGCCCTTGCCGCTGGGCGAGCGCCGAGCCCAGGTCGGGTCGACGGTCGAGGAGGACCCTACGAGGGGCCCCGGAAAGCTCAGGGAGGTGGATCGAGAAGACGGATGATGATGAGGAGGAGGAGACAGATCGAGAAGACGGATGATGATGATGATGATGATGATGATGATGATGATGATGATGATGATGATGATGATGATGATGATGATGATGATGATGATGATGATGATGATGATGATGATGATGATGATGATGATGATGATGATGATGATGATGATGATGATGATGATGATGATGATGATGATGCTGATGATGATGATGATGATGATGATGATGACGATGATGATGATGATGATGATGATGACGATGATGATGATGATGATGATGATGATGATGATGATGATGATGATGATGATGAGAAGACGGATGATGATGAGAAGACGGATGTTGATGGGGAGGAAGACGATGATGAGAAGAGGGATGATGAGGAGGATGATGATGAGGGAGGTGGGTCGAGAAGACGGATGATGATGATGATGATGATGATGATGATGATGAGGAGGAGGAGGAGGAGGAGGAGGAGGAGGTGGAGGAGGGCTCCGGTCACACGCGTGCGCGACCCGCTTGGCCTCGGCCCACGGCAAAAGGTATCAACGGACGCTGTCGACTTATGCGCCCCAGACCTTTCCGTTGCATGTTTTGCGTGTGTCGTCGAAGCAAGGCATCGTCTTGATGATGAACGTTCTGACACGCCGGTGTGACAGAGCGATAATGCACATGTAACCCTGGCCCTCCGCACGTGAGTCTAGCTTCAGGGTCATGAGTGGTGAGGAAGTCTCAGGCGAAACGCCCAGACCGCCCTAAAAACTGGCCTCGGGGTGCGACAGGGAGAAGTTAGTTATAAGGAAAAGGAGCGGAGGAGGAGGCGGAGGAGCAGAATGCGGAGGAGGAGGAAGAGGAGGAGGAGGAGGATGAGGAGGGGGAGGAGGGGGATGATGATGAGGAGGAGGAGGAGGAAGAGGAGGAGGGGGAGGAGGAGCCGCTGAGCGCCCATGCTGACACCCCGAGCCCTTCTCTGCTGGCCCTGGGGCCCGGCGAGGCCCCCCCCCCCCCCCCGGTGGCCGAGGGCAGCGCCAGAGGCTCCCGCCGCGATGTCCCCACGGCGCGAGGGAGCAATTGTGGGTCCCTCCCCCCTCCTCACCCCTCCGCTCCATGCCCCCCCCCCCTCCCCCGCCTTTCCTCGTGTCGGCCACGCGCAGAGGGGGGGGGGTAAATGGGGGAGGGGGAGGAAGCCTCGTCTGTGAATGTACGCAGGGCCCGCGCCCTCCAAGAAGCAGCCTCCCTCCAAGAGGTCTTCCCCCGCATGCGCGCTGCGCCCGCCGCCCTCGCAGCTAGGCGCTCGTGGCGTGCTCGCTTGGGGTGAACTCGCTCCTGCTGGCCAGGCGGCGCGGGGGGGGTCAGCCCAGCGTCTAATCCCCGCCGCCGCCGTCGCTCTCCTTCTCCACCTCCTCCTGCTCCGCCTCCCCAGAACGTCCTCCTCTCTCCTCTCCTCTCCTCCCCTCCCCTCTCCTCTCCTCATCTCTCCTCTCCTCCTCCTCCTCCTCCTCCTCCTCCTCCTCGGGCCAACTTGAACCCTCGGATTGTATTTTTCTTGCCACAACATAGAAGTCCGACTTAGCGATGTGCAGCACAAGTTAAGCAGGCGGCACGTGTGGATCAGGAAGGGCAGAAACAGTAAAGTCAAGTAGAGAAACCCAGGTGGGTACAGAGTAGCGAAGCCGTCTGCAGTGGGAGATTAGAGGACAACTATATCCACAGCATGATATTGAAGAGGGGGACGCGCCGAACAAGAGTGAACGAAGTACGCGTGCAGCTAGAACAACATAACGTAGTACAAAGGCTTGTCTGCACGTTGTTCAGCAGGAGTATCCCAGTTGTATGTCTAGCCACTGAGGTATGTTAGGCAGCCAGAGTAGGTGTGAGGCAGACGCAGTGAGGAGTCCCACCATACCCCCCGAAGACCCGATCCGCATCCCCAATCCACCATATTTAATCAAGGCTTGCAGTAAAAACAGGCGTGGTGCGTAGCAGTGTAAACTAATAGAGCAGGCGACCACAATACAGAGTGTAGGATCTACTATCTGGATCGTGGACGTACTGCGTATGGTGTGAGAGCGAGCGTCTCGCAAGCAGCGGCCCGCAGTATAACTGACGCCCCTCCCCTGAAAGCCAAAGTGGCCGTAGTTGTCAGTAGTGCTCCCTCCCCCACACATAATCCCCAATCCCCCCGGCCCGAACCGCCAGTCGTACTTCTGTTGGCTCATCAGCTGTGCAGGGAAGGCTGGCGCACACGAAGTAGCTGTTCTGACGTAGAGCGATGCTTGATGATTCTTATAACGGCGGTGATTAGCTGCTCCACGTGAATGACCAAGGCACGTGCTAGTGAGCCTTGACAATTAATCTGCCAGGTCATGGTAGGCTGGCCTAGACGGTACTGGCTGGCCTGGTGTACAAACAACCTCCGATGCACCTTTCCACCGCCTACATTGACTCCCCTTCCGACCCCAAAGTCAGTCAGGCTGGTGAAAGAGGCTTGAGAATCAGCGGGCTGCTGATGTGAGCGCACTTGGCTGTGGCTGGCGGTGATAAGCTGATCTTGTTAAATGGTCAGGCGTGTGCTAGAGAGGTTTGAAACTGCGCTGGCTGGCCTGATGCAGGCGGTGCAGAACAACCTCCACCTCCCCCACAAGAGTCTCCCCCCGTTCCTCAGTAAGGCTGGTGAAAGAGGCTGGAATAGTAAGTCGGCTGCTGGTATACCCGCCTTTTGCTGTGGCAGGCTGTATAGGCTGATCTTGTTAAATGGCTAGGGCATGTGCGAGCAAGGCTCGACACTTGAGCTGCTAAGTTTTGGTAGGCTGGCCTAGACGGTACTGGCTGGCCTGATGTAGGCTGTGCTGCTACATTTGGGTCATGCCAGACGTCATGCCAGATGTATGTCAGTTTAACTGGCAGTATGTGAGGCTGGCGCTGTCGGTGCTTGCTGGCCTGTGGCCTTGGAACTATACTTGTCTCGCGTGGTACTCGGATGTTGCTACACTGGTGGGGCCGCACCCTGTCATGCAGGGGGGTCCGATGCGCTGCAGGCTACAAATCACTCCCCCTCCCGCTCCGACTCGACCTTTTCCTCGTCATCCCGTCCGAGTCTTTCCCCGCCTCCCCGAGGGCGGGGTGTGCCAGTGCAAACCCAGGTGGTGGCGGAACAGCGCCACGGACAGCGCCACGGACCACCTTCTGGCGAAGTTGGAGGCCTTCAAGCAGCCCATGCGGAGCAAGAGGAGGATGATGAGGAGGAAAACGAGGAGGAAGAGGAGGAAGGGGAGGAGGAGAAGGAGGAGGAGGAAGAAGAGGAGGAAAATGAAGAGGAGGAGGAAGAGGATGAGGAGGGGGAGGAGGAGGAGGAGGAGGAGGAGGAGGAGGAGGAGGAGAGGAAGAGGAGGGGGAGGAGGGAAGAGGAGGAGGAGGAGGGGGAGCAGGAGGAGGAGGACGAGGAGGAGGAGGAGGAGGCGGAGGCGGAGGAGGGGGAGGAGGAGGAGGAGGAGGAAGAGGCAGAGGCAGAGGCGGAGGCGGAGGCGGAGGCGCAGGCGGAGGCGCAGGCGGAGGATGCGGAGGAGGAGGAGGAGGAAGAGGCGGAGGCGGAGGCGGAGGAGGGGGAGGAGGAGGAGGAGGAGGAAAAGGCACAATGGTATGAAACATATAAACAAGAACAATCGTAATCATAGTATGAAAATTGTTAGTATTGTGAAGACAGCGAATAAACATGTGAATCGTAAGACCAGTTCTAGTTCGGAAACGAGGAAGACGAACAAGTGTAACACTAAAGGTACTACGTTTAACAATCAAAATCTGACACATGAGAACACTACTACTAATAAGACGAGTGGTATTGATACCCAAGGTAATACTACTACTAATAATGAGAATAATGCGAAACCTATTAATACGATTACTAACAATACTAGCAATAATAATTGCGAATGCGTATACTGATTTTTTAATATTAAGGAACATATGCGAGTACTAATAAACATAAGAGACTAATATTTAGTAATAATACGACGAATCAAACTAATAAGAATTATCCAGGCGAAGGGCCCAACCTATGCACTTGTGGGTGCCGCAATTGTGAGTATCTTCTTCGGTGAAGCTCCCTATGGGGCCACGAAGCGCTGCACTGGTTGGGTGGCAGCGCATGCGGGCAGTAGCATTGGGACCGTCGGTAGAGCTCACTATGGGGCCCCGAAGCGCTGTACTGGGTGGTGGGGACGCATGCGGGCGGTAGCATCGGGGTCTTCGGTCTTCGGTGGAGCTCCCTATGGGGCCACGAAACGCTGTACTGGGTGGGGGGGGACGCATGCGGGCGGTAGCATCGGGGTCTTCGGCCTTCGGTGGAGCTCCTTATGGGGCCACGAAGCGCTGTACTGGGTGGGGGGACGCCTGCGGGCGGTAGCACTCGGGCCGTCGGTGGAGCTCCCTACGGGGCGACGAAACGCTGTATTGGGTGCGGGGGACGAATGCGGACGGTGGCACTGGGGCCTTCGGTGGAGCTCCCTATGGGGCCACGAAGCGTGTGAGGGGTGTGCCAAATTGGGCTTCCGGGACGCATGCCGGCGGTGGCACTGGGGTCTTCGGTGGAGCTCCCTATGGCCACGAAGCGTGTGAGAGGTGTGCCAAATTGGGTGTTGGGGACGCATGCGGGCGGTCCCCCTGGGGCCTTCGGTGGAGCTCCCTATGGGGCCACGAAACGTTGTAATGGGTGGGTGAAAATGCCAAATTGGGTGTTGGGGACGCATGTGGGCGGCCCCAGTGGGGGCTTCGGTGGAGCTCCCCATGGGGCCACGAAACGCTGTATTCGGTGGATGACAATGCCAAATTGGACTTCCGGGACGCATGCGGGCGGTGGCACTGGGGCCTTCGGTGGAGCTCCCTATGGGGCCACGAAGCGTTTTACTGGGTGGGTGAAAATGCCAAGTTGGGTGTGTGGAGCGCATGCGGGCGGTCCCCCAGGGGCCTTCGGTAGGGCTCCCTATGGGGCCACGAAGCGCTGTACTGCGTGGGAGAAAATGCCAAATTGGGTTTCCGGGGCGCACGCGGACGGTCCCACTGGGGCCTCCTTCGGTGGTGGAGTTCCTTATGGGGCCACGAAGTGCTGTACTGGGTGACTGGGCGGGAGACAATGCCAAATGAGGTTATGCGGACGGTGGCACTGGAGCCTTCGGTGGAGCTCCCTATGTGGCCACGAAGCGTTCTATTGGGTGGGAGATTATGCCAAGTTGGATGTTTCTGGGTCGCACGCGGACGGTCCCAGTGGGGGCCTCGGTGGAGCTCTCCATGGGGCCACGAAGCGCTGTACTTGGCGGTTGAGAATGCCAAACTGGATGTTTCCGGGGCGCATGCGGGCGGTGGTGCTGGGGTCTTCTGTGGAGCTCCCTATGGGGCCACGAAGCGCTGCATTGGGTGGGTGAAAATGCCAAATGGGGTTTTCCGGGACGCATGCGAACGGTGGCCCTGGGGCCTTCGGTGGAGCTCCCTAGGGGGCCGCGAAACGGTGTATTGGGTGGGTGAAAATGCCAAATTGGAGCTGTCCGGGACGCATACGGACGGTGGCAGTGGGGGCTTCGGTGGAGATCCCTATGGGGCCACGAAGCGCTGTACTGGGTGGGTGAAACGCAAGGAGGAGGGAGGAGGGGGAGGTGGGGGAGGAAGGAAGGAGAGAGGAGGAACGCGGGGACCGTCTCTTCAAAACGAGGACCCAACACCACAGGATGGTTGGGAATTATACAACAATGATATTATTGAAAATAATACTGCTAGATAATATCATTATTATCTGTAGTACTAGTAACAGGAATACTACGAATACTTATTTCCATAAAACCACGGATACGAAAACTAATACCAAGACGGGTGAGTAATCCTACAACTAATAATGATACTATTATTAGTATTATTTATACTGCTAGTACTATTCATCATATGAAAAGGTTAGTACTACTACTAATGACGCGATCGTAGTGATATTACCAATCGTAACAATATTAATACTAGTATTGGTACTAGTAATATCACTACTACTCATAATCATATAGCCCATATTTACAATGCTGCTGCTAATATAACAATATCATTACTAAGACTGGTACTAATGATACTCAGGATAATACCAATTCCGCTGATCAATCTAAGAGTGATAAAAACACAATAATGACATTAACACTAAGATGAATAATACCACTAATACTACTAACACTTATTTTATCAGTCTTAGTTTTATCATGATTAATAATAGTACTAATAGAACATAGCCATGCTACTAATACTACTAATCATATTAGTATTCACAATACAAATGGCACGGGTACTACTAATCATACTAAGTAGCAACAGAAGAAGACGAGGAGGAAAGGGGACGAGGCGGAGGAGGAGGAAGAGGAAGGCAAGGAGGAGGAGGAGGAGGAGGAACATGGGGAGGAGGAGGAGGAAGAGGAAAAGGAAGAGGAGGAGGAGGAGGAGGAGGAGGAGAAGGAGGAGGACGGGACGAGGAGGAGGTGGAGGAGGAGGAAGAGGAGGTAGAGGAGGAGGATGAGGAGGAGGACGAGGAGGAGGTGGAGGAGGAGGAAGAGGAGGTAGAGGAGGAGGACGAGGAGGAGGA